GATTAATTTCTTTAACTATATAATGATAATATTCAATTAATAGACTATCAAACTATAATTTTTATATCAATAGGATCTCTTTCTTAAACTTAAAATTTTTTTTTATAATTTGAAACAAAATGCTTACATTTGGATTTTTAAATCTTTATACAAAAATTACTCTACTTAATACAAGAATTGATAACATGGATGATATAGAACAACCGAATGTATCTAGCTCTATTTGTTTAAGCGATACTGAACCTGGGCCAAATGAAAATTTTGATAGTGATGATTTCTTTACAAGACAACCAAAAAAGCGCAAAAATCTGTCTATAACCACAGAACAAAAAAAAAAGAAAAAAGTTTTCAGCAAAAGCATAATTCGTACAGAGAATTTAAGTAATGAAAGCACTACTAGACATGATAACGATTATATAACTAACGAACACAATAATCATATAACCAACAATGATATAGCTAATGAACATAATTGCGATTATATAACTAGCAATATGCCTGAAAGTAGCTCTAACACAAATCAACCTCCTAAACCAAACCTTAAAGATCTTCAACTTGTACCTATTGATAAGGTACTCAGAAAAAGTTGGATATGGTCTTATTATCAACTATATCAACCTGTACAACCATATAAATGGATAGTCAGATGTTTGTTTAAAATTAATGGAATTAATGGATTTCAACAGTGTGGCCATTTAATGGGATCAACTGATACTTTGACAGGGAATTTTATTAGCCACTTGGTATCATGACATAGAATTACAGAGGAATCTCATAAACAACAACTTGAGCAACAGCAATTTAAACAAATAAATATTGATGCGATGTTCGCTATAAATGATCCTAAACGAAAAGCAAGAAGAAATCAAAAGTTTATTAGTATGCTGGTCAAGGATCATTTGCCTATTAATATACGAGAAGAACCTGGTTTTATAGAATTTTTAGCAGAATTTGACCCTAATTATCAATATCCATAAGTTATCCGGGTTATTCAGATACTGTATGATTATTTGGTATCCATAAGATTTATCCGGTTATCTGTAGGGTTTATCTAGTTTATCCGGTTATCTGTAAATTAAATGCTAGCAGTTATCTGGATACAAAAAGATACTGATAAACGGATACAAAGATATCCGGGTCCAAGCACTATCTACTGAACTCAATATACTCAATTGCATTACGAAATTCAACTACAATACCAAGACTACAATCTACAACAATGCAGTATTTGAAATCTTCAAGGACAGCCAACCTTTACAAACCTTACAACAAATAGCAATAAACAATACAACATATACACAACTAATATTTTATACAGATAGATCAGTTAGTAATATTACTACTGAGCGATATACAATGAGTATAGGCTAGATTCAAACAGCTGATGATATTGTACTATACAAGTACTCTGCTGCAATCAAATTCTGGCCCTCTTCTTATAAAGCTAAACTATTTGCAATCTTTTCTGCAATATGTATATATCTACAAAACAGTAATATTACTATCTATACTAACTCACAATCTATAATATCTAAGTTCAACAAATTTGCTTAACAACTACCTGGACCAAACAAACAATATTCATATAACTACTGGCCAATTTGGCATATACTACTAAATCTTATCAAATCTTACAGATTAAAAATTAAACTTCAAAAAATCACAGCACACAGCAACAATACATTTAATGATCTAGCTAACTGTTTAGCCAAAAACTGAAACCACATAACCAATCTCAAATTCTTGTACAACAACATTTATAACCCATCTTATTATTTATAATACACAACCTATGCATTTGAGCAACCAACTCATAGATCGATTAAAAATATCTGTAATAGCTATATAATAGTACTATGGTCCTCCTAACACCGAATAGAAAACATTATACTCCTTGCAACACAAATTAATTAGAATAAAACCTGGTTTTACTTAAATAATAACTACAAAAAATTATCCTTCTACACCAATTTTAAACTTTGTCAGAAAAAAACTTTCAAAATTAAACTTATATTTAACATATTACCTACACTATCAAACTTACACACTTTATATCCCCAGTACTTTCTAGACATCAACTGTATCTCATGTAACTCTTAAAGATCAAATGCACTAGCTTATGTATCCAAGTATGCCTAACCTAAATACAATCATTACTAACACAATACAACAATTTCTGCAAGCCTCTAGGCTTGATATAACAAATACACAATATCAAGAGCTACAAAATAAACTTATTAATCACCCAAGCCTATCACTTAATCATTATACTAGAACTAATACAAACATATTTACAACCTTACAAAGTTTTATATCTATTATACTTATACAAACTATCAGAGAATATACAGACTCCAACAAAACAGCGACAAGTACTGCTATTAAACTACTCTTACAACTATTCCAAAATATATATGAGTTAATCTGAAAACCATATTGTGCAAAGCTATCAAGCTGAAAACAAGAACACAATATACCTACTCATATAAACAGAAATCAAACTAGACAAAACACAATATCTATATCCAATAATTCACGGTTAAGAATACCACATACCTATAGCTGTAATTGTGGTTTACTCGACCAACAATATATAGACAATAACTGTCCACCTCCTGGGAAAGCATTTAAAAAAGCATATATATGGTTAACTTCTTGGATAAAGTATAGCACATCTACTAACAATATTATTAATTATAGAATCTAGGTGAGTTTTTAACCACTCTAGTAGGTTAGGTTACAGATAAATTAGATAGTTAAATATCTATAGTCTGAGTCTCATTCTTGTAAAATATTTGTAATTATTGGTCTTATTGATCAGAGAAACCTCTAGTAGATTTTCAATACAAATTATTAAATAAAGATAAAGACAAAACCTCACCTTAAAAAAAAAAAAAAAGATAATTTTATATGTAAAATTTTAAGTCATAAATAATTTTTAGCAAAATATTTATTTGTTTTGAATTTTTTCAAATGTGTAAAATTATATCTGATTTTGAAATTCAATTTGTTGATTATATTAGAGTAATATATAAAATGTATTGTATAGAATAATAAATAAATATACTTATTTATAAATTTATATACTATATAAATCAAATTTTAAAATGCAACTTTTTACAATAATAAGATTTTGAAAAAAATTTTACAAATATATAGAGCTAATATAACTATATAAAGTTACTAGTCAGATTTTTTTAAAACTTTTTAGATAAAAAGTAGAGGTTGGAACCGGTTTTAATAATTCGGATTTATCACGTAAATTTTGTGATATTTTAGAATTTATTTAAATTTAATTGGATTAAATTCTAAAATATCACAAAATTCACGTGATAAACTCGAATTATTAAAACCGGTTCCAACCTCTAATAAAAAGTTATAGCTATTTAAAAAATTGAAACACTTCATGTAACTGTTATTAAGTATAAACTTCTACAACATAGTTAAATAAAATTTTCTATTAAAAATAAAGCAGAATAAGAGTAATTTGATACAAAAAAATATTTAAAATCTTGTGTATTAATAACAATAGTAGTAAAATAGGTAGGCAATCAGCGCGTTATAATCGATATTAAAAATTCTTCGTGTTACATGAAATGTAAAAATCGTAAATCACCTGACATGGATTTAACGCGTAGAAATCAGTTCATTATTACTATTTCTCAATAAAAGGATTTTTAATATATATATTGCCGATTCCCGATTTTGTTGACGCGTTATGATCATTTAAAAATTATATAAGCACAACCTTTTCCTAATTATCTTTTCCCGTTATTGACTTTACTTTTTTCATACAATTTTTTGTATTCTACATTTTGAAAATAATCCCAGATGGAATCTCATACATTTTATAGTTATGATGAAACTATTGAAAAACCGGTGTACGGTTATTTGCTTCATAATGATGAACAAAGGTTGATGCTTCTAAGTCAAAATCCTCAAATGTCGGCTATAGAAGTTGCTAAAAATATAGCTAACAATTGGAATGCTTTAACCTTTGTAAGTATTTATTTTGCATTTTAAAGGAGTACCTTTTTAATCACTTTTTATTTTATTATTTTTTTTTCAAGGAGCAGAAAAATCAATATTCAGAACGCGCTAAAGAATTAAATTGGAAATGTCTTAATGAGGTTAGTTAAAGAAAACTTTAAGCCAACACATGTATACATGTATACATGTTATCATGTATTTATACGTTGTACGAGTTATAAGTCATATTTGTGTAACTTTGGAATATTTTAGTATTTTTATATAATCGGTTATCTAATTGTAGATTCATTTGATCTATAATCTGGTAATTACGTAGAGAGAAAGAAATTTGCATCTTGAACGCGTTAGAGAATTGG